GCCGAACAGGGCACAGACGCTGGCGCTGGCCGCGGCTCCGACCTTCACCACGGCCGCCCTGTCCATGACGGTCAGCTACTCCTCCGGCTACCAACCGAACCCCCGCTCCGAGAGCCCAGTCCTGCCTTCTGTCAACAGGCGGCTTCCTACTGGTGCAAACACGCAGCCGAAGATCCTCTATGCTAAACAGGACCAGTCACTCTGGAGAAACTCCACCGTGTGATAGCTGGATGATTGTTTTTTTTTTTTGTTTTTTTGCAATGCCAAAAAATGTGTATTAGGCTATAATAAAAATACCAAAATAATGACATGTTACACGACTTTAGAACCAGACTTTAATTGACAATAAAAAGCTGTGGAATACTTTTAATGATATTATGGGTGGAACCAGTTGATATTGCTAATTATTTTAGTAATTATTTTAAATGTAAAGTAAACAGATTTAGGAATGAAATGGACCAAACAAAAAAAGCAATAACATGAATTAATAACTTCAAAGTTCAAATTTTCTGAAGTTAGCTTCTGTCAGCTATGTGGAAAAAGTGTTATCTGGATGTAAAGACAAACCATCAGGTATCGATAATTTGGATGGGAAACTATTAAAAATAGTAGAAGACTTGATTGCCATTCCTGTTTGCTATGTATTTAACCTGAGTTTTTCTTATTTTCTTTTTCTTCTGTTAGTTCTGTTGAGTGATTTTTTACTGATGAGAGCTGGATTATGTAGTATGTTGTATCGTGTTTGTGTATTGTTGTATTGTTGTATTGTCTTTGCTGTGCTTTGGTGTGTTACTTCCTGTAATTGTGTGGATCCCAGGAACAATAGCTGTTGCTTTGGCTACAGCTAATGTGGATCCTAATAAATGAAATTTGTATGTTACTTAACACATAACACAACACATGGCAGGTAGCAAGACTTTCTGAAAGTATATTCAGACCAAGCTCATATTGGGAGGAGCTCTTTTTGTGTATTCAAAGTTAAAAAAAGAAAAAGGTGAGCACACTATTTTTGCTTCACAAGTTTACCTGTGGCCCATCCTTTGCGACTCTTTTCACTGTAAAGTTTCAGTTTGTACAGGAAATACCAAAACAAAAGTCATTAACAACATAGAAGTGAACCAATGAAAACACAGTCCATTGGGAAACTGGGAGTCATTTACGAAAACTATCAACACATTTTAATCAGAATATTGTGTTAGTGGTTTTAAAACTGTGCATATAGTAGCTTATGAAATTAGAGCACAAGAACATGAAGCACATGAAGCTCTTTGTAAATCTGATGGTACTCCCTGCACAATCTTACACATTGGACATATAATTGCACATGTTCTTCTTTGCTATTCTCCTAAAAATGTCATATCTATATGTAAATATTTATATATTTTTATATTTATTGTTATGCACCGAGTCACAAAAGCAAATTCCATGTCTGTGTAAACCTACTTGGCAATAAAGCTGATTCTGATCCTGATTTCTAATAAAACAACATAAACTTGTTGATTATATAAAAGTGATCGAAAAATTTTAGTGGAGTGAAAAGTAAAAGATTTGCCTCTGAAGTGTAGTGGAGTAGAAGTAATAGTAGCAGAAAATGAAAATACTCAGTAAGCAAGTACAAGTACCTCTAAATTGTAATTAAATAGGCTGCAGATCTTGAATAACTGTACTTGGTAATAATAATAATCCAGAAAAGTTTTTTTATTGTCTGATTCAAGTTCAATTAATTAGAACTTGATTGCAACACTGTTAAATAATCACCATTTTCTGGACTGTTTTCCAGCTGTGACAGCTTCCAGCCTCTACTGGAGACTGAAAAGTCTGCCAGGTCCAAAGAATCTTTTTAAGAGACTATCTTTGTCCGCTAGTTTGTTCTTGGCCTCTGACATCACAAAACTTCCTCCAAATAGCATCAAACTATACAAACAAGCTTTTAATCTAAGTTATTAAGTCACTATGTCAATAAAGAGATGATGGATGAATACAGGAGTGAGAGGGTTCACGAGATTAAAATGATCAACTGTTTCCAAGAAGAGGTAACTGTCAAAATCAAATCAGCTTAATGTTGCATAGGTTTTGCATATTTACCAGTCACTGAGAGGTACGGAACTGCGTCCTCCTTTCCTTTCTCCCATTTTTGTCTCCATAGGAATTTAACAGCATCTTCACAGAAGCTACAAAACCGTTACACCAATCTGAAATATCAACCATAAATGTAATGTTTTGGTGTCTCTTATAATGAAAGACTGAAGGCGTCGTTCAAAATCGGCACTGACATTCAACAATATATTTATTTATTTAATGTTTATTTGTATAGGGACACAGCATGAATCAAACCCATAGCCCTCAGCATTTATAGCCTAACCTTGTTTGCAATCACTCTGATGAACAGCTGATTTCTGACTCCGGAACAACTCCTGTGCAATAATCCAGTAACTCTGTCTGTAATCAACCGCCTGTTAACTGGTTACCACTTATTATTTATTAATCATTCTCTATTTCAGTGCTGTTCATATGATTATACTGTCTGGTTATATTGTCATATTGCATATACATCCTTTGCACTATTCTCCATTGCTTTGTGTACATGTATGTGTACTTGTATATCACATCCACCTTCGACATGTACATAATAATGATAATATTTTACTCTTGCATCCTTTGCACTCTGCTCACTGCACTATTTGTTAATATGTCTATATTGTTTTTTGTCATAGTGTGTATATTTGTGTTGTCTTCACTGTAGCCTGTGTCTGATTTATTTTATTATTGTATGAGTAAGCACATCGTGAGCAATGTACAATCCTGAGTCAAATTCCTCGTATGTGTACACATACCTGGCAATAAAGCTGATTCTAATTCTAATTTTGATTCTGCTTTCCTTTATTCTGAATTGTTTTACTTAATGTTCATGAATTACTCAAAGTGATACGCAATTCCAATGCCACAATTCAGAGGTCTGGAACCACAGTACTCCTTCAAAGTGTATAATTACAACTTGTTTCAAGCTATGTCATCAACCATTTACATGACTTCATTTAGCTGACGCTTTTATCCAAAGCGACTTACAATTGCTATCTATGTCAGAGGTCAACTAGGGGTTATGTGTCTTGCTCAGGCAGGGACACATTGGAAAATACAGCCTAATTTCTTTCATTTGCACAGTGTTATACTTTTAAGTTTTTCAAGACAATGTTGTATACTTTATATTACAATGACCTTTATATCCACAGGTAGTTAACAATAAATGTATTCATCTTTTATCACTGTACTCTGAAAGGGACATTTGCCTTTCAGTTGTTAATATAATGACCTCCATATCAAACAGCATTTAAAACTGAACAGTTAAATGTCTATCATTTATAACCGACCTTTAAAAATTGCATTTGTCTTCATCAGGGTGAGCCTTTGAGCCTGAAGAAGTACAGAAGTCTATAGTCCCTGTTTGTTGTAAAAATGCCTAATAAAGTTCAGTCATAGCTCATATGAGGCTTCAGCAACCCGAAGTCGTCAAATCTAGTGGGTTTCTCCTAAAGTCATTTTATTACCAAAATCCCTCTTTGTGTTTTAGTGTTTCGCTGTAGTGGGGGCACATAACAAAAAAGGGTATTTGGTAATAAAAATACTGTAACTTGCTCACTCATGTTTGCTAAAACCCAGTTTTGAACTAAGCTAGCAGTTCCCTTCGATTGTTACTGCTATTCTAGTCTAAACAAGTCCTGGACCTATTTTGTTAAGGAGCAGACATGCAGGTGTATTTTAGATTTTAAGATTAAAATGGAAATAAGAGCACATTAGCAAGAGCAAGACAGTATTTCTAACGGTTTATTCTCACATCCATGGCAGGCTCGGTAACAATCAGGAGTCTTTCCAACTGTATTTTCGATAAACTGAATATGGCAGAGACACGCTTTAAAGAGAACTACCTTGACGAACTTAAAGACTTCAAAGCTGGATCTGAAGATCAAATAGCTGAAAGAATCAAAGAGAAGCATGGAAAATGTGGAACCTATGGTCCCCGTGCCAATAGCTGTGAACATCTTGCTACCTATGTGCGCTATGGAGTGTCAATTTCACTGCAGGTATGAGGGATATTCTACATGTTCCCGACATGATTGCTACTGCCTGTTCTTTCATCAGATGTGTAGGAACAATAGTAAGGTAATGAGCAGAAGCCACGATTTATCACAATTTAATCATGTGTTCCATTAGCATGATTCCAGTTAACCTAATGATTAATCATCTGTTTAATCTGAATAATTTTAGCAAAAGATTGAACAAAAGAAGGGCTGTCATGAACAAAAATATGTATATAATTGAACAACATGCAGCTTAGTAGTAGGCCAGATGGGACTTACTTTTTTTTATTTTATTTCCACAGCCGGGCCAGAATGTCGCACAATACTGCAAAAATGATGCCAGCCTCAATATTGAAGAAATACGGACGAAAATAGGACCTGGTCCAGAGACAACATGTGATTCTTTGTGTCCAAGGTCCAAAAGGGGTCCCGGTTAACAAGTGTGTTTCCAATCCTGAGGCGGTGGCCTTTCCTCACATGACATGAGGTCTTATTTGAAATAAAAAAAGAGAAAGAACTGTTGGTGTTTTATTGTCTCTGATTGTGACAGGAGTGGCTGTATTCAAGGAAATTCTAACAGCCATTAATGGGACCAGCAATGTCAAACAACTAAGTTGCATACAAAAAATATATAGTATGGTACAAGATTAAATCAACATATATTTAGCAACATTCAGAAGCACTTCACTCACTTTCCCTGCCATTTTTGACACTTTCATCCAAAGTGTGTTGGCATAAAAGAGCAGGTAGGGCTGCAGTGTCTTGCTCATAAACACAAAGTGGGTCTCCACCAGGGCTGCAACTGGTTATTATTATTTTCATTATCGATTAATCTGCCGATTATTTTCTCAATTAACTGATTATCATTTAGTCCATAAAATAAAATAAATAAACACAGCCAATAGTTTATTTTGTCAACTGACTTACTGATTAATTGACCGATTGTGATTTAGGAAAATTCTGTTGGAAAAATTGTGAGCCATACTTTCAAAGTAGTCAAAATGCTGGAAAACATGGGCCTACTTGAAGTAACCTTGCTGATAGTTGTTATGTTAATTTACTTACATTTTTACCATGGTGGTAATTTTATTACAGGTAGAACACTTGCTAAACTACTGTCTCAAATAGCAGAGACTTTGTCAGCAGAAGTTAATTGAACATTATTCAATTAACGTCTGCTGACAAATTGATTAAATTGATGATTGAATGCCGGTAAATAACACATATTTATGAGAGTATGCTGAGTAACACTGGTAAAAACAGGAAGATTGAAAGGAAGATGGACAATATTTGTTGGGCAGGGTAGGAGTGAAGGATGGGAAGTGCCTCAAGCCTCAAGCCTCAAGATGCGGTATATATACTCGATGTAATCAAAAAATAATAATAAGGACTGTTTCCACACATTCACCATCAAGGAATTATGTTGACAGATTCACTGAAAGAGGTGCAGGTGGTGAGATGGGCAGGAAGCTCAGGTGAGGGGAATGAGGCTCCCTCCTGTCTGTGTAATGGGAATGGCTCATCAGTTTGTTTGTGTGTTTGTATGTGTCTATGATCCAAGAGACCTCCATCTGGTTGCTACACATTCAAGAGTAGAAGCTAAAATACTGATACTGAATATCAGAAAGTCTATTTCAAGCAGGCCCATATATATCATTGATGACATATATGCAGTGTGAGTGTTATAAGCGTAGTACTGGGAAATAATATTCCACGAGTTACCAGCATTTTCAACCATCATATATCCAAGCATCCAGCATATACCCAATAAGAAAATATTTAACAGAGGGTCAGAAGGTCATGCCTCGATTTAATGCCAATGTCTGAAGTTTTGTCTGAAGCAACATTTAAAAAAATGTTTATTTACTATAATAGACTTTAGTTTACTGTTTCCAGTTCTATAGGAAAGACAGTTTAAACCAGGGAGTCCCTGACTTTGTCTGTATTTGTAAGAAAAGAACAAGTTAATCTAGTTACTACTTTTATGTGGATATTTAGGCTAAGATCAGAGTCAAGGGGGATACCACAGGTCGGGTGTAATTCAATATTTCAGAAGTTTTTTAGGTTAACTGTTAAATTTTTTAACGTGTACAAATGGAGACCAATTCCAATTTAGTTAGTTATTAAAAAAATGAACCACCACACTATGTAGTAATCTATTACAAAACACGGGGGAGATGTGTCACATAATAGGTTCTGGCTTTTTAATATAAAATGCATCAGTGTTTGCATTTTGTTTTTGAACTGATAAATGAAGACTCTCATGCTGATGATAGTGCTATTATAATGCTATTCCAGCAATCTGGTTCCATGTTGACACTTGAAACTGCGTTTAAAACAATCTTTCTACCAGATTGCTGGAATAGCATTATAATAGCACTATCATCAGCATGAGAGTCTTCATTTATCAGTTCAAAAACACCGATGTAGAAATAGGGAACGAGACGTGAGTTTTCATTTTGCACCGTAGAAGCTAGCGGAAGGCACCACATGGGGGGGTATGAGACGGGAGGCTCCAGGCTGCAGCCATACAGTCTTGGGTTCAGGTGTGAAGAAGTTTTGCAGACTGATGAAGACTTCAATTAGCATGGCACAGGAGATACAGTGTCAGCATACAACATGTAAACACATCAAATGCCAACACCAAATCTGAAGGAGAACATCTTTTGGTCCTTCTTATGTTTTGGTCCTCCCCCTAGTTCCTGTACGTTTCCCTTTTAGGTCATCTTTAGCTGGCCTTAACCTAGAACCTGGAAATTGTAAGTCGCTTTGGATAAAAGGCTCAGCTAAATGAATCAATGTAATGTTTTTCTTTGGGGTGGTGATGGAGCAGTGGATAAGACACACATAAGACACGTTAACCTCAGTGGGGTCGTTATCCAGGGTCATCGATACCGCTGGTTCGTTAGTGTTCCTGGTTGCTGTGACGACAGTCGTTACAGTCGTTAAGACTACCTGTGGCCAAGACTGAACGACCATCGTTGGTATCTTCACCTGAGGCCAAGAGGTTACGTTTGTTGAGTTTCCTGGGAAGTGATGAAAGGACAGCATTGTAAGTGGGGGATAAGTGGTGGCGTAGACCTCCTCCCCTGTTCAATGACGGCTTCTCAACCCGGGTGTAGATGCTTCCTTGACACCTCTTTCAAACCATCCATCTTCTCTGTCTAAAATGTGCACCTGGTGGTCCTCAAACGAGTGTCCTCTGTCCTTCAGATGTAAGTAGACTGCAGAGTCTTGACCTGAGGAGTTGGCCCTTCTGTGTTGAGCCATGCGTTTGTGTAGTGGTTGTTTAGTCTCCCCAATATACAGGTCTGTGCATTCCTCACTGCATTGGACCGCAGACACTAGATTGCTTTTCTTGTGTTTGGGTGTGCGGTCTTTGGGGTGGACCAGCATCTGTCTTAGTGTGTTCTTGGGTTTAAAAAACACAGGGATGTTATGTTTGTTGAAAATCCTCCTGAGTTTCTCTGATACTCCAGACACGTATGGAATCACAGTGTTGTTGCGTTTGTATCCACAGGCTGTAAGTGCCCCCTTCAGGTGTTTCTGTTCCTTCTCTCTGGCTTGGGCGCTTGTTGGTATGTTTTCCGCTCTGTGGTGCAGTGTTCTCATGACCCCTAGCTTGTGCTCCAGTGGGTGGTGTGAATCAAAGAGTAGGTATTGGTCTGTGTGTGTGGGTTTTCTGTAAACACCAATCTGCAGGCTCCTGTCCTCTTCAATGTGTACAGCGCAGTCCAGGAAGGCCAAACTGTTGTGAACATCTTCTCGTGTGAACTTGATGTTACTGTCCACAGAGTTGATGTGTTCTGTGAAGGCTTGCACTTCCTGGCTTTTAATTTTGACCCAGGTGTCGTCCACATATCTGTACCAGTCGCTCAGTGCTTGTCCAGCTTGATTATATTTCTTTTGCTTATCTTTCTTACTGTATATCTTTATCTCCATCTTTCTTACTGTATATCTTTATCTCCATAATATTTCTCTACATATGTTCTATGCACATATTGAAAGCCATTTAGAAGAGTTCCTTCTTGTTTATAGAGAAACAGCAGCAATGTCCAGGCTACTGTATTTTCTGCTTGTTCTGAACTATACATTTACAAAAACATCCTTACTGTACGGTTCATCATGTACTGTTTTATCTCACTTCTATATCTACCTGTTACTCAATTGTAATGACATGATAAAGATGGTGATGAATAATTCCTGTCCTCTATAAAGAAAATGTCACTTCCCTGTTTGTGTTCAAGGCAGCAGCATCTTCTCCTGAGGTACAGGAACAGTCTTCAGAGAATCTGTGAGACATCTTTCTCCACAAAGTAGGTAAACATAAAAAAGGGCACATTTTAACTCCTTTGGGCAAAATAGAGTGTGGCTGCAACTAATGCTTATTTTCATTATCAATTGATGTGCTGATGATTTTTTGGTTTATGTCAACAATTTGCTAAAGCCCAAGGTTCAGATTGCTTTAACTGACTGTGACAGAAAGGCAAGAGCAGTCACCCCACCCGGATGTGAACCCAGGTCTACAGGGTGCCAAACATGCAACTTGACCGCAACGCAGTCACAGCGCATACTCAAACGTAGTGACGGTAGTCCATCACACTGACTAACGGTCCAAAACTTAAAGATGCTGTATAATGTAGGAAAATGAAGAAGTTCACACATTTGAGAAACTAAAACATTCAATGTTCTATGTCACACAGGCTCCACGACGTCCTATTGGTCGGCTATGTGCACAATAAAATTTCAGTGGGCAAGTGCGTGCGTGTGATTGGAGGAGGTGGTACCCATAGAGTCCAATAGATGCTCCGCCTGTGCTTATAGAACTAGGGTTACCATATCATAACCTTCGTTCCTGACAACATCCCATCCATCCATCGTCAACCGCTTATCCTGCGTACAGGGTCGTTGCAGCCAATCCCAGCTGGGATTGGGCGAAAGGTGGGGTACACCTTGGGTCACCAATTAACCTAGTCTGCATGTCTTCGGATGGTGGGAGGAACCCACACAGACACAGGGAGAACATGCAAACTCCACACAGAAGGGCCTGGAACGACCAAGGATCGAACCCACAAAATTCTTGCTGTGAGACGACAGCGCTAACCAGTGCACCACCGCGCACCACCCCTCAAAACATCAACTATGATGCATTTAAAAATGTCATGTCTCAGTTAAAATTTAATCTTATAAGAACATTATTTGAAATGATAAACATCCTCAAAACGTTCTTTGAACATTAGGTGAAAAACTTTCCATTACTAGGCTAACATAATTAGAACTTGTAACATTAAGCAATATTGTGAGTAGGTTCCTGATAACTGGGTAGGGAATTACCAGAAAAATATTTTTTTTTGTCAGGAATAACAATAAAAAACAATAAATAAAACATTCACAGTTCCAAAATAATAGTCTGCAATAAAAGCATTTAAACCTTCCATCTAAGCTGTTGTGACATCTCTTACAGTGCCACTTCAAACTGGCATTTAAAGAGATAATATTTAAATGTTTTTATCTCTC